AAGGATGGAAAAGAATATTCCACCAAAACAACACTAAGAGACAAGCAGGGAGTGCAATTCTAATATCTGACAAAATAGACTTCAAAGTAAAACTAATTAGAAGAGATAAGGAGGGTCACTTCATTCTGGTCAAAGGAAGAGTTAACCAAGAAGATATTACAATCCTTAACATATATGCACCAAATTCTGGCATACCCAAATTCATAAAAAACAACACTACAGGACTTTAAGACACAGATTAACCCCAACTCAGTAATAGTAGGGGACTTCAAGACCCCACTGTCTCCAATAAACAGGTCAACTGGACAAAGAAGAAGCAGAGTGATTTCTGAATTAAATGATACCATACATCAAATGGACTTAACATATATCTTTGAATATTCCACCCAAGCACCAAAGAATACACTTTCTACTCAGTACCCTATGGAACTTTTTCAAAAATTGACCACATACTGGGCCACAAAACAAACCTCAACAAATACAAAAAATATTGAAATAATTCCATGCATTCTATCGGACCCCAATGCAATAAACCTCAAAATCAACACTGGACAAAGCCCTAGTCACTAAAACGAACTCATGGCAATTGAACAACAAACTCCTAAACAGAGAGTGGGTTAAAGGAGAAATTAAGAAAGAAATAAAAGAAATCCTGGAATTCAATGAGAAGGACAATACAGCACAACACATCCTCTGGGATGCACTAAAAGCAGTCCTAAGAAGGAAGTATATAGCTCTAAGTGCCTACATTAAAAAATTATAAAGAGCCCAAATAAATGACCTAATCCTGCTACTCAAGACACTGAAAAGACAAGGACAAATGAAACCTAAGCCCAGCAGAAGAGAAGTAACAAATATTAGAGCAGAAATTAATGAAATTGAAACAAAGAAAACAATACAAAGAACCAATGAATTTAAGAGTAGGTTCTTTGAAAACCTAAACAAGATAGACAGACCCTTAGCCCAGTTAACCAAAAGAAAGGAAAAGCAAATCCAAATCAACAAAATCATAGATGAAAGGGGAAACATCAGAACACACACGCAAAAGATCCAGACCATTATAGGGGAATACTTTAAAAATCTGAACGCTATTAAATCTGAAAATCTAAAAGAAATGGATGGATATCTGAAATCATGGAAACCACCAAAGTTAAACCAAGAACAGATCAACAGTTTAAACAGACCCATAACATATAAGGAAATTGAAACACTAATGCAAAGCCACCCAACGAAAAAAAGCCCAGGCCCAGATGGATTTACAACAGAATTCTACCAGACATTTAAAGAAGACCTCCAACCAATACTACTTAAATTATTCAAAAAGATAGAAACAGAGGGAGAACTCCCAAATTCCTTCTATGAAGCCAGCATCACTCTAATACCCAAACTGGGTAAAGACACAATTAAAAAAGAAAACTATAGATCCATATCATTAATGAACATATATGCAAAACTTCTCAACAAAATACTTGTAGACTGTATACAGACACACATGAAAAAGATCATCCACCATGATCAAGTTGGCTTTATTCCAGAGATGCATGGCTGGTTCAATATACACAATACAATAAATGTCATTAATCATATAAGTGGACTCAAAGACAAAAACCGTATTGTCATCTCAATAGATGCAGAAAAGCCTTTTGACAAAATTCAGCATGCATTTATGTTCAAAGTCCTAGAGGGAATTGGACTGGAGGGAACATACCTCAACATAATTAAAGCTATGTACAACAAACCCACAGCCAGCATCATTCTAAATGGAGAAAAACTGGAAGCATTCCCATTAAAATCAGGAAGCAAACAAGAATGTCCACTATCTCCACCCCTTTTCAACTTAGTGCTTGAAACTCTTGCTAGAGCAATAAGATAGGAGAAGGAAATTAAATGAATATTAATTGGAAAAGAAGTCAAACTTTGAATATTCCACCCAAGCACTGAAGAATATACTTTCTACTCAGCACCCTATAGAACTTTTTCAAAAATTGGCCACATACTGGGCCACAAAACAAACCTCAACAAATACAAAAAATATGGAAATCATCTTTTGCAGATGATATGGTACTTTACCTAAGAGATCACAAAAGGTCCACCAGAAAAGTCCTAGAACTAATCAACACTTTCTGTATAGTGGCAGGTTATAAAATCAAGCTACACAAATCACTAGCCTTTCTATATATCAGTAACAAGTAATTGGAGAAAGAATACAGGGACATGCTCCCATTCATGATTGCTGTAAAAAAAATATCTTGGAATAAATCTGACCGAAGACACCAAAGTTCTCTACAATGAAAATTTTAAATCATAAGAAAGAGAAAGAGGAAGACACCAGGACATGGAAGGACCTCCCATGCTTATGAATTGGAAGAATTAATATTGCAAAAATGAACATCCTACCAAAAGAAATATATAGATTCAATGCAATCCCAATCAAAATCCCCATGACATACTTCCCAGAATTAGAAAAAAAATCCTTAAATTCGTATGGAAGCCCAAAGGACCCCAAATAGCCAAAGCAACCTTGAGCACCAAGAGCAACACGGAGGGAACAACTATTCCAGATCTCAAAGTATACTACAGAGCTATAGTCATAAAAACAGCATGGTACTGGCACAAAAATAGACACATAGATCTATGGAACATCATTGAAGATCCAAACCCAAGTACACACAATTTCACGCACCTGATATTTGACAAAGGTGACAAGAACACACAATGGAGGAAGACGGTATCTTCAACAAAGGGTGTTGGTTTTCTACCCAAGCCTTAACTACATAGCACATGATAATTGAAAGTACCATACTAGTGGAACTAGCCTTATTGGATGTTTAACAGCCATAGTTTCAGGCGTATACTAATGTGGTCAGAGGGACTTAAACAACAGTTTTTACCCTTTGCCCTCCAAGGTCTACTAAGTTCCAGGGGATCATGGAACACCTCTCAAAATATCCTATAAGTGTGGTGATTCACCTGTCCTCTGATTCAGGGAGGACACGGAGACCCCAGGAGATGAATTTGAACCAGTGTCCAGTCTAGAAAGAAGACGGTCAACTCAGAGGAAACATCCCATTCATGCTTCCAAGTGAAGCCCAGACATGGTCGAGCAGGACCTTTGACTTATCTTCACATAGATGGAACTGGTAAAAGAAAAGAGCCAAGAGCTCTTCCCAAGCCCATGTGGCCCCTGAGGAACAGATCCTCAAATGACCATAAGGTAAAAATAAATTGATTTATGTGGGCCAACTGTATGGACTTAAACACCCAAAAGGAAGGTATAACCAAAGAGTAAAGTCATCAGTAAATTTCTTTAAGAGTTCAAGGGATTACAGGTCCCAGACACTAGGCTAAAGTTCATACAACAAGTTATTTAGACAATTATTTTTCATTGATTATTTTGTTCCTAATCAGAAAGTGCTGCTCAGATGTAAGACTTCAAATCTTGGTCTAAGGGAGACAAAGAGCTATTGTTCTAAAATGATGAATAATTTTTTTTTCTTCCCCTGTTTAGAAGCCTTTGAGAAGGAACTGACACTGATTCACACCACTCCAACAGCTATCAAAATATCTGAAAGCAAATCCTGAATCCATCACTCTGGAGTCCAGCCTTGGAAGAAAAAAGAAAATATATTGCTAGGGAGCCAACTTCTTTATGGACATTGGTTAATTTCCAACAGTAGAATTTCATGACATGTCAGTAACTTTTAAATTCTATGTAGAAAATTTATTAGGAAGACAGGTGTAACATGGGAATGTGTAGGATTTAGAAAACTGGCTTTTCAACTGGCTTTTGAGTATCATTAAATTAGTCTGTGTGTATGAAGACTTTTGCACTAAGATCCACAGTAACAAATGCCATTGTTTTCATATGAAAGACTTTAAGTGGAAGCAACTGCTTTTTCAGCAAATTTCACAATAGATACACACACCCAAATGAGGGACATAAAATCAGTTCATGCTTCTGACAGGAAAAAAAAAAAAAAGGAACTAGTGAGCTGTGTCCTCAGAAATTCTTTTTACAGCCTCTGGAACTTAGAAAATAGACCAGAAGAAACATGCATATTTAAGCTGAGGTAGGTGTGGAATTTGGGGGAGGTCACCTTCATTTGTAAAAGAACCTGAGGCACTTTTCCAGAGCCTGATCCTCTTCAGACAGAGGACAGGCAGTGCAGGCTGGAACGAGGTAGGTCTAGGGAACTTGAATTCCTGGCCTTTGGGGATAATAACTTTTCACTTATTTAATGCAGGATTTGGGGTATGAAAGGGAAAAAAAAGAAGGAAACCACCTCTTATGCCACAAGCTGGCGTTTTCGATTAAGGTGGGTTGAGTGCATCTTTAATTGTATCTTTAGGGGATTTGAGGAGTAGAGTAGACTGCAGATGACAAGGAAAAGGAAAAAGAAAAAGGCTTAAAGCCAGAGTTGGACATTATAGAAGATTCTAGCTAATTTTGTTCTCAAAAAGCTGAAAGCAGCGGGGCGGGGTGGCACAGGCCTTTAATCCCTGCACTCGGGAGGCAGAGGCAGGCAGATTTCTGTGAGTTCAAGGCCAGCCTGGTCTACATAGGGAGTTCCAGGACAGCTGGGGCTACAAGGAGACCCCTTGTTCTGTCAACAACATATCATGTTCACAATTCATAAGGAAATATTTTCCATGTGCAGAATTCGGTAGAGATGAAGGGTAAAAAGCAGGGTCCTCAGTCTGATGAAAAGACCAAAAAAAAAAAAAAAGCTGAAAACAGTATTTTTAACTTCCGGCTATGCAATTCCTTCATTCTTAACAGGCCCCCGTTCTCTCAACAACATATGTTCACAATTCGTAAGTTAAGGAAATATTTTCCATGTGCAGAATTCGGTAGAGATGAAGGGTAAAAAGCAGGGTCCTCAGTCTGATGTACGTAGCTGGATCCTCTGACAGATCATAGCAGGATCTGATTCTGCAACAGTCTTTGGCACCGTCAATGGGATGCCCAAAGTAAGCCCAAGCTGCTCTTCATGAGGTCTATGGATGATATGCTGCAGATTCTTAGCAGTATGGAGGTCAGAAAGAAGTTCCGAAGAATTGTATCCAATGTCCTCAGCTCAGAGGAGGTAAATAACACCTGGGGAAGTGAAATAATTTACCTAGAACAGTGAACTTTGTGACCATACAGTAAGCTGAATGATCCTAATTGGGTTTGTTGGAGATTTGACTTGAAGATATTGCTTCCTCTTTTGTAGATTCCAGGATGGTACGAAACAGATTGCTAATGACAAACATCATTATTTTGATGCAATTTTTCTTTTCTATCTATGCTCCTTAAAGCTGTTCTTGTCCAAGGAAGTTACAGTTGTCAAGTGATGCACTCAATCCCATGTTCTGGGTTGCTTTGAGATTTGACTTGAAGATATTGCTTCCACTTTTGTAGATTCCAGGGTGGTACAAAACAGATTGCTAATGATAAACATCATTATTTTGATGCAATTTTTCTTTTCTATCTATGCTCCTTAAAGCTGTTCTTGTCCAAGGAAGTTACAGTTGTCAAGTGATGCACTCAATCCCACGTTAATAGCTCATGTATTTATTGTACCTGAGGAACCTCTCTTTGATAAGTATACTCTGACGTCTGTACCTATGGTATCTTGTTTCTTTGATGCTCATGCCACAGATTCATAAACGAACTTCAAATTTTGATTCCCTGGTTTGTTTTATAGCAATTCTTTATAGAAGAGAAGGAACACTGGAAATTTGACCACAATTAATTCCTAATCTTAATGATTTCAAACTCATTTACATTCATGTATTTCTTATCAATTTTAAATTGTCTTAATTTTCCAATTTTTACTTGAATTACTATTTTAGAACCTATCATCTTTAAATTTTAAATACTTTCCATAATTTTGAATATCGATGTTAGGGGATACTGTAAATGATTAATGGTTTATTTTCTCATTTACATTTCTCTGAAATTGACAATTCTTTTGATTTCTATCAATTTTCCATAGACAGGCAATAACATTTTTCTCCATACATTAATGATAAATAAAGGTTGATTAAGGTTATATAGTTCAATACAAATAATTTTTCTGAATAAATCTAATTTGGATGCCACTACAGTTGTTTTTCATGTTATGCAACCAAGAAGAAGGAACACATAACTAAATATGAACTTTTTATACGTTCTCAGTGGACTATTATGGTATTAAAATTAACTATGTCTCAAAGTGTCTTTAGTATGCTTTCTTTCTCTAAATGTTTATGAATACAAGGCACGAAACCCTGAACGTGAATGTTATATATTTATTTATTATCTATTATCTATGTATTATCTGTCTATTTATCTCTCTACCATCTATTTATCTATCTTACATTATCTATATACTCTATCCCATCTACAGACCTATTGTTTCATGTATCAATCATCTACCTATCAATTTATCTTCCATCTCTCAATATGTTATTTATCCATCACATACCTATCCATTATCATCAATCACTCAATCAATCAATCATGTATCTATCAATCATCTATTTCTGTCTCTCTCCTCGTCCTTACTGTGTTTCT